CATGTCCCTAAGTGCTACATCTGTGTATCTTTTAAATAAATTCCAGGGATGGTGACTCTACCACTTCCCTGGGCAGCCTCTTCCAGGGCTTTAGAACCCTTTCTGTGAAGAAAGTTTTCTTAATGTCCAACTCTAAACTTTCCCTGGCACCTCTTGAGGCTGCTCCCTCTTGTGCTTTTGCTTCTCACATGGCAGAACAGACCCCCCCACACCTTGGTGCAGCCTCCTGTGAGGTAGTTGTAGAGCACGAGAGGGCCCAAAACTGAACCCAGTACTCGAGGTGTGGCCTCACCAGTGCTGAGTACAGTTCCCTAGTCCTGCTGGCCACATTAGTTCTGATACAAGCCGGGATGCTGTTGGCCTTTTTGGCCACCTGGGTACGCTGCTGGCTCATATTCAGCTAGCTGTCGACCAACAACCCCAGGTCCTTTTCCACCGTGCAGCTTCGAAGCCTGTAGCACTGCATGGGGTTGCTGCAACCCAAGCGCAGGACCTAGCACATGGCCTTGTTCAACCTTACCTCCACCAACTGATCCAGCCTGTCCAGGTCCCTCTGTAGAGCCTCCCTACTTTCAGGTAGATCGACTCACACGCACATCTTTGTGTTGTCTGCAAACTTGCTGAGGGTGCCCTTGATCCTCTCTCATCAAGATTATTTGTAAAGATGCTAAAGAGAACAGGCCCCAGTGCTGAACCCTTGGGAGCTCCACTTGTGACCGTCTGCCAACCCCCCTCTCGGGGCCCAGCCGTCCACCCAGCAGAGCGCATGCCTGTCTGAGCCATGAGCAGCCAGTTCCTCCAGGAGGATGCTGTGGGAAACTGTATCAAAAGCTTTGCTAACATCCAGATAGGCAACATCCACGGCCTTTTTCCACATCCACTAAGTGGCTCACCTTGTCAGGTGAGAAGAGGAGATCGGGTTAGTCAAGCAGGACCTGCCTTTCATAAACCCTGCTGGCTGGGCCTGATCATCTGGCTGTCCTGTAGGTGCCTTGTGATGACGCTCAAGATGATCTGCTCCATAACCTTCCCTGGCACCAAGGTCAGGTTGGCAGGCCTGCAGTTAACGAGATCCTTCTTCCAGCCCTTCTTGGAGATGTTTTTCCCTTTTCCCCTTCAAATCTAGTTTAAAACTCTTTCAGTGAGCCTGGCCAACTCCTGTACAAAATTCTTTTCCCCCTTTGAGACAGGTATACCCTGTCTGTCACCAGCAGGCCTGGTGTTGTGTAAACTGACCTAAAATCAAAAGACCCACCCTACCAGTGGCAGCAGACTTGAAGCCAGGTATCAATTTGCTGGTTCTTCTGTTTATTCCTGCATTAACTCCCTGCAGCTGGAGGGATAGAGGAGAACACTACTTGTGCTCCTTATTCCTTGACCAGTTGTCCCAAGGCCCAAGTACTTGGTAAGAATCTTATGAATGGGAACATAAGGGGGGCATTTCTTTTCAGGAAGAATACAGAATTGGAGGCCAGAGTGGAGTACTTGACATAAGGCATCTTAAAATGTCTGGTGGATTTCAGATTTCAGAATTAGCTCTCCACAGACTTCGATCAACAGTTGAGACAGTATCATTGACAGCTTCTCATATGCTTCCTTTGCTGTGAGCCCAAATCAGCACTGGTATGATATCACTCCTTACCATAGTAGGCTGTTACTAGTGTTTATGGGTATTCTTGTAGTGTTAGTAACAGTTGATAGGCAAGGGGCCAATTCACAGAATCATAGAATCATTTTGGTTGGAAAAGACCTTTAAGATCATCAAATCCAACCATATGTAATTGAACATAAGGTTTATAAAAAGTCAGAATAGTAGTCTGTGGGGTTTTTTTTGATAAGTGGTTAATGATCTGTTCATCAGATATTTTGCTTCAGAATAGAAGTAGTCACTGTCTCCTCAGGTTTTTACTCCATGCAGGAGATTGCTGGGCTGTAAGAGAAGCTTAAGAATCTTAATGAAACAGAGAAGAAACTTTAAGCATTAATAAAGAATGTTCTAGTACTAAAGAATGAATAAACATATTAAAATTACTTTTACTAGATGTGGCTTTCAACATCAGATAAATAATATACTCTTCACAAAATTATTTAAACCAGCTTATGCTTCTATACAGCTGTCAATAATGACTAAAAAGATGGGTGCTTGCCAGTACACTGTGGTTGTTTTGTTATAGTACGTTTGGATGAGAAAGTACTTTGAGTTAATGAAATAACTATGATTATTCAAGTTTTAATGGATCAGTATTGACCTACTGTGTTGGAAGCTGAATGATTCAATAATCGTTAATTCATTGCATGCTAGTTTTAAATTACTGGGTAGCAGGGCTTGGCTCTTCTGTATGTTGTAACTAACTCATGGCTTACCCATATGTCTCTTAATGCTCAGAAAGCTATGAGCTTTAGGTTTGTGCTTGCATATACATATATGTAGATGTGTATACATATATAGAGATATATAACGCATTTGCTTAGAGAGACAAGATACTGTAAATATGATGGGTTTCATACGCCAAACGTGAAAGATTTTATTAAAACCCAAAGAAATGGTTGTGTTGATTTTAGTTTCCCAGAATGAGGGAATGTGCCAGCTGTTTATTATACAAGTTCACAGCCTTGTGATCTTAAGCGTCTTGCTGCTTTTTTGCAAATGCATATAGCAGTAGGTGTGAATGTTACAGCCCTTTCTTTTTTGTCACTATTTTCAACACTTTTTTAATGCTTTTGTCACCTCAGATTTGGATTCTGCAAAGAGCTACAGCTTGAAGCAAAATCTGGAGACTCTTGACTAGAGTAAAGTCTGTCTGCCTTGTGGTGAAGTGGTATTTCATATAGGCTTTGCAGGTTTTCACTCTGTCAGTACATTTCAAGGGAGAATTTAGCTTTTTATACCTCTGAAGTTGTGAGCCAAGTTGCAGGGGTCTGTAGCACTGCTCTGTGAAAGTCTTATGTACCAAATAGCACTGGTAAAAACGGAGCCCTATCGAATAATGAATTTGTGCATGTAAAATGTATTCATTTACTCTTTTTTGGACACTAGTCATCTTCTCTGAACCTTAAGTTGTGTGTTCAGCTGGACTTTTCAGCATTTGCTTGACTTCACCTTACACTAAAAAATAAAGAGAGGGAGATGAGTATAGGCAGGATGGTCTCTTTAACTGACAGAATTCAGTTAATCTTGCTATTATGTTAGCAGAGGCTATAAATATTTTTGTTTGTGTGTAAAATACAGCTTTGTAAGAAAAAGCATCTGATTTATGGCTTTCACAGGTCATGACAAAAACATTGTTTTATTCTGAAATCAGATGCACTGTAACCTGATTCAGGAGTGAATCACATGCTTTAAAATACCACGGCATGGAATTCCACTAGTGATAAAGAGCTAAGTATTGGTGAGTCTGTGAAGCATTTTGCCTGTGTTGCTACATACTTTTCCTTTGAAAATAGTTTTAAAAAAAAACCAAGCAAACAAAATGTGCTATCACTTTTTTGGCAACATATTTAACCTCAAGTTTGGCATATTCGTATTTTCCTAACAAATGCATCTATCGTGTCAGCTATGATGGAATGAAAGACAGATTTCTCTAAGGAACATTTTGCCAGCATTGCCAAAATAGGGCAATAGAGGAGACTGTTTTGGTTTTATCTTTTCCTCTGACTACTTTATCATCACTTATTTAAAGGACCAGTATTTCAGTAATAAGCTTCGTTTTGAACTCGGACTGTACAGAGATTTTCAGAAGGACAAAAGGACAGCAGTCCAGATGACCAAACAGCTATTATCAAGCCATTCTTTCATGATTCTGGAATCACTGCTTTTTTCACACTTGCAAACTGTTCGGAGTCAGGGAGCAGCCTGGAGAGATGAACAGTGACTTCAGCTCGTTCTATGTGTGAAGGGGCTTATGGGAACAGCATCTGTGTTCCTGGAGTCACTTCTGAAACACATGAACCATTTGATTTAACCTGGTATTACCTCTCCGGGTACTGTCCTTCCTACATTTGCACGGAGTTCTTGCACCGTTGCTACCTCTCTGACCCAAGTCGTGCACAGAGATGATCTTTCTTCTCTGCCATTTTGTACCATTCACTCTTCCTTAAGAAACAGATTATTTTAGTATACCTCAAAAGGCTAAAGCAAGTTTAGATTCACAGTGCTTGTATGATATGTCTCTGTTCTTCCATTTCAGAACTGGATTGTAATTGCTATAGTTCCTTGCTGGCAAGAAGCAGCAGAGAGCTGTGTTGTTTCAGGAGCTGTTAGGAATCAGAGTTGCAATTCCAGGAATCAGTCCATTGTTCCACTTTCATTCCTAAGCGGATCCTTTTTGCCAATATAATTTATTGTCCACTTTGAACTGCCTTTAAAGCATTTAAGGGAAGACTTAAATTCTTGCCACCCTTTGTCATCTGCATAGCGGAGGGCTTGCATTATGTCATACTTCCATAATATTATAGTGAGAAAGCATAGAGTCTTTCCTCAATGCATGCAGTACTACAAGGAAAAGTATTCTGTATATTTTCAAAAAGGAATAAGCACTGCATTGACATCTGACTAAAGATACAGGAAAGGAGAATGAATGTGTAAGAAATTGCTCTGGCATTATCAATTTGCGAACTACCAGATGCACTACCATTCAGATACAGAGTTGAAAAAAGAAAGTATTCAGTTTTGTGAATTAATACCATTTATTGCAATACAACACAGAGTTGTAGAATAAACTTTGCCAAGTCAAGTCTGTCACACACTGACAAAGTAATTAATGTGTGGTACTTAATGATATTTCATTAATTCATCCAGAACTTGGCTCTTGACTCCTAAAAGAAATAGAGGAGAGCTGTCTAGTAGTAATTATCTGTTAAGAATGTTTATCACTAACATGGCTCATCAAAATCTTGGCAAGAAGAAAAGAGAGCTGTCATATGAGAACCTTCCCACTTCAAGAACTTGAGTGGCATTGTGTGCTAATTACTTTTCTTCTAATTTTTTTGCCCCCTTGCAGAACTTTCCTTTTTGTTCGAGATGGTAACCCAAATAAACGGAATGTGCACAATGAGACATCTATGCACTTACTGTGTATGGGACCTCAGATCATGATCTCGGAAGGGGCTCTTCATCCTCGCCTGACACGACCCTCAGAAGATGACTGCAGAAGAGCAGATTGTCTGCAAATGATCCTGAAGTGGAAGGGGGCAAAGCTGGATGAAGGACAATATGAACGAGCAGCCATTGATGCTGTTGACAACAAAAAAAATACACCTTTGCACTATGCTGCTGCCTCAGGGATGAAAACCTGTGTTGAGGTAAAGGTTCATAGATAATCAGAAGTCTGTAGACTGCTATTAGTAAATGACATGCACAGTGTTTCACAAAGCTATTTCAGCGAAAAAAAATCTGATATAGCACATTGAATTAACATTTTAATTAAACTTTCATTAATTGGAAAAATGACAAAGATAAATAGCCCAAAACGTACACTATCTGTAGAGAACAATGAAGAAACTGTATTACATATACATTAACTTCATGATGTAAACTCCTCAGACCAAAGAAGACTCATGTAGACTTATGAAAATTGGAAATAATTACAAGACTGTAACAATAGTGAAAAAGCTTTAAAGGTAGGCATAGTCATACTTGCATGTGTAACAAGAAGTGAGGTAACTGCCTGAGAGAAAATTAGAGCTCTTTTTATTCTGCTCTGTAGCTGGGACTGGGAAATGCTGTCTGTGACTCATGAACAGGTTTGATGTCAAATTTACAGTGCCCAGCTTTTTTAGAGGATGCCATCCATCTGTTCTAGCATACTTCAATATAATTACCTTTTTACAAATTCAAAAATACTTTAATGTTTGTGAAAGTAATGAATACTAATGAGTAATTCGGAATCATAATGACTTAAAGGTCTCACATCAAATCTATTTTTAAACTATACTAAGTAATGAGGACTAGTATTTAATTGTTCTAGTAATTTAATTTGAAGAACACAAGAACAGACATTAACATTTTCAAAAACAGCCAACATTTTCCTAAGTCTGTATATTATAACATCAAGATTTGTATTTTGAATGGTAACTATTAATTCAGAGTAAAATTTAGGCTTTCCTCTGTGTTTAACTTCATGTTTATTGAGAATACACTCATTAACTTAGCATCATCAGCAACATGTATCACCTCAGTATTCACATGTTTTTCTAGATAACTTCTGCATACCTTAAGCAGTCAGGTCCCAGCACCTGTGGGACTTCATTGGTGACCTCTCTCTGCAGTAAAAACTGACTCTTCCTGTTCTTTTCTGATTTTCTTTGAAGCTATTTTTACTATTGGTATTACTTTTACCACCTTCTAAACTTGTAATGTGACATATTTAAGCAAAAAGTTGCATATTGTAATAAAGACTTCGGAACTTTTATATTGGAGTTCCATTAGGACTCACAAATAAGGATCATCTGGTGCTGGGTATCTGTATTAGTGTTTGGTTTATTGGTTGTTCTAGAACCTCTTGTGCTGAGACTTCAGTTTCAAACAGACTTTCTTTTGTGTCTTTCATAAAACACGTGGTAAATTCACAGACAACAATTCACATCACTTTTCTGCTTTATGTTTTTTGGGATTGCTTTTGCACTTTGTCTAGCTACCAACTTTACAAACACATTGACAGATTTACTGTGTGATGTTTTAAAATTATTTATTCTGAATTGTTATATACTTGGCACACTGCTCAAAGACCATTCAGAGCCTTTTTTATTGTAATTTTACATTTACCTGTTCCAGAATTTTTTCTTTACATATTCTTCATCTGGAGACAACTTCAGCTTCTTATTTCCCCTGTGATTTTTGTCCCATTGTTCTACCTTCACAGGTTCTTCTGGTGTTTCTAGAATTTTCTTTACATGCTTTTGTTTAGTATCACTTTTTGAAAGCAGGGAGTGGATTATTTCTCTTTTTCTGCTTCTGCAAGACTGGTGAATCTAATTACAATTTGGGAGTCCTTGTTGAGTGGTTCTTTGATGGTGACATCTTGAATTAGGTCTTGCAGACTACTCTGAACAAAGTCAGGAGTTTCTTCTCTCACGTGTTTGCTAACTATTTTTTCTAGTATTGAGTCACTTATGTAATCTGAAATTTTAATTTAAGCATTATGTATTAGCATAGCATTTTCTCAGTATACATGGAAGATGCAGTGGCTGAAGTTCCCTTTATTTTTGTGGTTTCTGCCCTTGCAGCCTTTCTGTCTTTGGTCAGCATGCCACTTCTACTGTTACCGTTTTGATCAAGTGGCCACCAAAGTTTTTTTGTTTAAGTCCAGATTTGAATTCCACTGGGATTCTCTGGTATTTGTTGATAGAGTTAGGTTATTTGTCTGTGAGTTTGTGCGGTTTTGGGGTTTTTTTTAAAGGTAAATAGCACCACCCTTACAATAGTGTGAGCTTCTTTGTGATTCTCTCATAATATGTACTGTGGTATTACTTTGTTACATTGACTGTGTTCTGTTGTGTTTCCAGATAAATTCTGAAAATTCTCATTTAAAGTTTGTGATTTCAATTCCCCAGCCTTAGCTGTGCACCATCTTGAACTGAATCCTCTTCTTTATCTCCTGATTTTTCTTTAGTCCACTCTTATAAAACTCAGACAGTGTCTTTTTATATCAAATAGCGAACACTTCTTTCATTCTGTTAGTAGAAAGATGGTCCCTCCCTGTTTTCTGAACTTGTAATGAATGGAAACTCAGATTTCTTGCAGCACTTTCTGTGCAATAACTTAAGCCCCTGTCCCACTGTTCCCGTACTAGGTACTGTGAGGAGTCAAGAGGATGCTGCTGTTGCATGCTAGTACTTAATCTCCAGTATCACAGCCTGAGTCTTGCACCCATACTTTCTCTCTTCTCTGACCCATGTCGTTACAGCTCCACAGTAGCAATTTGTCTCCAATACGTCCCTAGAAATTATGTGCACGCTTACTGATTTCCACCAAGGAGGCAAGCCACTGTTCAGACTTTGCTGGATGAGTTATGCCCAAAGGCAGCTAATTATGTACCTGGTAACTGAATGACATACAGGTGTTCCCTGGCTCTTCCGGTTAACTAGAAGGAATCTTTCCTTATTTATACAGTTATGTCATTGATTTAGTCCCTTTTTTGATGTGATTGATTTGTAAACTACCAACCTGTCTCCTAGTTCTAAGACAATACTGTTTTTGTCTTGGTTGTCAACTTTTAATTCTTTTTAGATTTGATAAACACAAATATTAACTGCAAAGTCTGTGTACTCTTCTCACATTCTCCTTTTGAGTGCCACTTTTTTGATCCAGCTGCATGATAAATTCTGGTGACAGGCGTTTTCAGTAACAGTTTTTCTATCTAGCCTTCCCCTAGAAGGGCCTGGTCATTGGCAGAAAAACTAATCAAGCTTTCTACATGAGAAATGTTGAGCGCACCCTCAAGTTCAAAATTCCTTATATGCCCTACTTTAGGATAGAAGAACTTGGATCCTAAAATTAGAATCTGAAATATCTTAAGTCTTCCAGTATAGTGTGTAGTCCTTCTAACTCTTT